AGCATGCTGTCTCTCTAATGGCACAGGCGTTAAATCTCCCCAGGCAGCTCAAGGCTTTCAAGCACAAATTAAAAAAACTAATATCACTATTCTGCACAACACCACATCGATGCTCACAGAGACACGAGGGTGCCAAAACCTCCAGCCTCCATAACATGCAATAATCTGCCCCGCTCCTCCTTCGTCCCTCTGATCTCCTGTGATGAGATGCGAGGCCGCCATTGCCGCCCATCGCCTGCAGCAGATGGGAGAAGCCACAGTGGATTTTTTTTCAGTCGGAGCAGCCAGAGATAATATTATGCTGTAATTCCATATTCTTTACTTTCTGCGCAAAAGCTACAATTAGGATATTCCGGAGACTCCCTCTGGATGTTTTGCTTTCAACAAAATTGATGTTTATGTTGTTATTCTCACAATATAAAGCAAATTGCTCAGTGACGTTTTGATCCGTATGTTATGTTTGTCCTCACATCTTGCTATGGTTTCACCCCGAATTACTTCACTCGATTACTTCATTCCAACACGTTGCTCTTCATTTTTCGGTCTGTTTTTGGGCGTTCATTGCTTTTTGTTTATTAAACTGAACATTTGTTACTCGCTGGTAGAGTTAGGTGAGCTGATGTAATGTCTTCATCATACATTTTTGGTTTTATCCAGATGAGAAAAAGGTTTTTTATAAAGAGTGGAAAAAATGCTATGTTGTGGTTTTATGATGTTCTGTGCAAGAGACTATTTCTTGGCAGGAAACAGTAACATCCTGGATTGTTTGTGCTAAACTAAGCTAACTTCTCTCAGCTGCAGATTCACATGTATATATGAAGTATATAGGTATTCCACATTCAGTTGTCTGTGTCCAAACCTGACCCAAGGTGTTTTCCCTGATTACAGGCACAAGTTGAGTGTTGTGCACCTGCTAGCACATACTTACATGATATCTCTCAACATTCTTAATTATCCTCCTAAAGATTAAGCTGCATGCAGGCAAAATAAAGCTGATCTCTTCATTCAAGATCAGTTTTCAGCAACTGTGATAATTGTGTTGCTGCTGCATGTGCGTCATTTTCACAGTAATTAAACAAAACTGGGCCAAATCAGAAATAAAAAAATAACTTGAGATGCTAAATCAAAATGAAAAACCATTACAGGCACTAACAGCTGAGTAATTATCGAACCATGTGCAGTCTCATCAAAGTCTGCAGGCAGCAGGAATCATGGGTAATACCCAAAGGCCAACAAGCTAAAAGGAAAACACAGTGGCTCTCTCCCAAAAGAGCTCAAGAGGTGTCTTAAATTTACAAGTGCAGATGACAGTGAGTGGAGAGCTGTCAGCATCACTTGAGTTGAGTACACTGGTTTGTAATGTGTAAAAAGAAAACTGAGTTAAAACCACTGAAAGCTTTTGTCAGATGTTAAGGCCATTGCACACCGGTTGCGTTTTCTTTGTGCGCATTCATTTTTTTCGCATCTATATCGAGTCAATGCTAGCTTTTACACCAGTGACATAATTTCACTGAGCGATATTGCAGATTTTTTTCTGGACCAATGTCGAGTGTGTTTCAGTACGATGGTTTGTCAATTAAAACTGAAGCAGCTGTGGCTCAGTTTAAGCTCCTGAAACATCCACCTTCATTAAGTAAAAGCAGCACCGCATCACCATCGCTGATGGTGATTCAAATTTTTCCTGAGGCGCATTTTTTAAAATCTTGATAATTTATTCTCTAATTTGCGTTATGCTTAATGTGAATAGTCTGATGCCTCGAAATTTGCTTCATTATTCACCATTTCGTTTAGTCACATTGCTATTGATGTGTAAAGGCCTTTAGCACAGCTCATGTAACTATCTGCAAGAAACTAATTTAATCCATACACTGAGATTAACGACGCAGACTGGAGTTTGTTATGCAATGTTAAATCAGCAGACCAAATCTGAACTTCTCAGGAGCCAACAACACACTTCAACCACCTCTTGTGTCTCTGTGACTTTGACTTCAACACATCAAAAGCCAAACTAGCCGAGCGGCAGCTCGTAAGAAATATCTCATGCAGAGCTCCTGTCAACCAGCCAAACAGAAAGAGTTGTGTTTCTTTCTTTGGAAAACCCCCATTGGCCAAAATACAACCAAACATCACTTTCCAGTCTTGTTCATCTCAAGCTATATTTAGCTTTGCCTGGTGCAAACAAGAGTTGCTAGGCTCTCAGACTGTGGCTGACCTGTTTTGGGCAGATTGTAAAGGTAGTGGGTGGATACCCAGGATATTACTTCTCCTCCACTTGACCTCACAGGAGGATATTTCAACAGAAAGGAAATGGTTTGAACCTGGGGGTTGATGTGTCCCCAGGGCCTCAGTCCAGACGCTCCTCACATAAAGCCAGACGTGCCTCACAGGCCGTACAAGCAACACAGCCTCACAAAACTACACTGTATTTCTGTCTAACTTCACGATGTTTGCTGGAGGTGTACAAAGTGTAAGAGGTTGTTTATTGTCATCCAGATTGAAAGCAGGATGAAAGCAGCTCTATATGACAGTCATGCTCTCATTCACAGCTACAAGTCTACACAGTCTTCCCAGCTCCGTCTGTCAGCCTTATGCCAGTGTTTACATATCTGGAATGTCTCTCCTCCTAATAAAGCCATGACATAGAGAGAGAGAAAACTCCACTAAGCACTGAACTCCACTATTTGTTGGGTTTATTATACGATAATATACCCCCCAAAAAAGAATAATAAACTCAAATATGATCAGTTTTACTGCTGCCTGGAAAACAAAGATAGTGACATATTTATTTCTAAGTAAAAAGCCAGACTTTGAGGTTTTACTCAGCCTCTGATCTCTGCTCACATGATTGTGGGCAAGTTGGTCTATTAATCCAGATGTTGTGGCACAGCCAAGAGGTCAGTTCCATCTGGACAGATGACAATCATAATCAGCATTTACAAAAGTCTGGATATAAAAATGGACCACTTAACAGCTCCCATAAAGTGAAGCCAAAATCTCTTGACTGTATGGTGTGTAGGTCAAAAATCCCACATCCTCCATGTTAGTGGATGAGACAGTGGCCAAACAATAGTAAAAGTACATATCAATGGCAAGATGGTTTGTGTCATTATGGCGACAAAAGATGGCAGCAGCCACACCCAAGATATTTTAGCTCAAATTTTGAACAATAGGAATAAGTGAGATGCATCATCCATATTTATATAGGCGCATACACATACCATACATGTTAGCTCACAATAGCAATAGTGAACACTGGCAGGAGGAATGTTTACCATTTTCAAAATTAAGCATGCTGACATGGAAATTAGAATCGAACACACCTGAGATTTATGTTAATACTTTTAACTGAAGATGGAAATCTGGAATGGTTGGTTGACAAATTTCATTTAAAACCAGGGACCTTGTTAAAACAGCTTCATCCCCTGTTGAGCAAGATGGCTGGGTTTGTGTCTGGGATATTTTGGCTTCCTTTGTGGATAGTGGGAGGAAATGGAGACGCGTCGTCCATCTTTGTATACAGTGTTTGATACTACTACATGTTGCATACTTACTAGGGTCTTGAGTTAAGACACTAAATTCTCTACAACTGTACTACCCATTAAAAATCCTGACAGAGAAAGACAATTTTTTGTGAAAACATTCTGGTAATTCAGTTCATTATTGAACATGACTAAGTGACACTTAATCCAACCATCCATTCAAAACAGCCATCCTATCTTAGCCATTTCATGTCAACATGATAATAAAACTCATGATAATGATAATAAAACTCTAGTACGCATTTCAAAGCTTGTGCCTCATCTTTTCCACTGGCAGTTGTTAAAATGGAAAGACGAGTGATGTGACTTGTGCCAGTTTGATCAGCCGCTTCATGCACGGAGCTTTGATCACTGACAGCCTCTCTCCAAAGACTATTTGCATTAACGGCCACATAAAGGACGACCGCCATCAGACTCTAAGCTGCTATGTAAAGCCACAGAGTCCAGGTTAACAGTCTTCAAGCTGTGGCTCTGTGCAGGTGTCACAGTGATTGGATCAAGTCAGATCAGACCGTCTGGTATTGAACCAGTATTGAGCAGAGACCATCTCCAGAGAGGAGGATCACTCAGATGGAGGCCACCTCTCTGGAGAGAAAGAAGAAAAGTGGAGGGAGCAGCTTCTTCTTTCTAGGAGCCAAACAGACATGCTACATTATTAATTGTCCGGTTGGGGAATTCTAAGTCGAGAGAGGGCATGTGGGGGGTGAGATCCTGTGCCACAAATAAAACACGCCACACATCTCGCCAATTCTCTTGTTTTAGCCTGTAGCTCAGGTGGCGTTTGCACTCCTGAGAAGGAAATAAAAGCTTTAACACCTCCGAGCTAAAGGATTTCACCTCAGAGTTCTCATTACTGCATTTCACTGAGGCTGTGAACACATTAAGCCTGTCAGTCATTTGTCCGTGCTCCAGCTACAAACTGCAGAGGCGAGGCTCTGCTGGTTCGAGGTAAACCACAGAAACGGTTCACCTCCTCGGGAGCACAACATCAGAGAAAGTGACAGAAAATATCACATGTGTGCAAAAGAGTTTTGAATTGTTAATGCCAAATGTGAATATAAGGAGAAATGATTCATGTAGAGGGTAAGAGGGCAGAGGAAGAGAGCACACAGACTATTCTTGTTCCCGTTCAAACCACAGAGATGAAAAGAAAAGCAGCTCTTTTTTTTTTTTTTTTTTTAATGGGCCTGTGGCTGTGCTTTGAATCCAGCTGTGAACTGCATGTTAGGATTTCCTCTGCTGCCCCCATTTGAATACTATATGTGAAGGCTTTACAGTTTGAAGCCAGAACTTGGTCGGTGGATAAAATTGTTTGCAATGCTGCGGTGATGAGATATTACATTTTACATGAGGCGGCAGGTAAAAAAAAAACATGTGATGACAGGTAATTTCAGCAGGAAAAAACAAAGACAAATCATATGAATGAAGATGTGTTGTGCATAAAAAAACACAGCTAAGTACTGGAGTTCTTCAGCTATTCCTCTTTATTCATTTTTCTTTCATGTGTTATTGCTTTTTTATCTCCCTGCTTGAAGTGATGTTGAGAAAAGCCTCATTTCCGGGTGTAAATTCAACTGTGGCAATTTTACACCTGCACCTTAACATGGCCCCTCTTCTCACCTCAGCTGCATTTCCTCTGGCGTTCATTAATTGTCACTTCTATCTGTCACAGGTTAAAACTGTGCGTTAAATTGAATTCAACATTATTAAACAGTGCAGTAGACTCTTGCTGCACAAGCTAAAAACGGGAATCTTAGCTATAAAAGCCAGGATGTCGATACATTATTTTCATTGCTAGTTTACCTGGTTATTTTGGTATCATTTTACCCACCGATGTATCACATCTATAAAAGAAAGCCTACATATGTTTAGATTTTAAAATATTCAGCAAATATTTACATTTGAGATGGAGTGAATCAACAGAACTGTTTCTGTTGACTGACCGATCAGTTTATCGTTTCATTTTCCTGTTTTCATCTCTTCAGAAAAATGACAGTTGTTTGTATAAATAGGCCAACATATTGATATAGGGCTATATTCATTATTGATTAGTCTAAGTCATTTTCTTGATTTACTAATTGTTGGATTTATAAATTGACAAAAAATAGAGAAAAATGCATGTGACATTTTTCTACATTCATCAGTGACAACATTGACTGTTGGAAACTCCAACATACAAAAAGCAAATTATCATATTGGAGAAGCTGGAACCTGGTAATAGTTAATATTTTTGATTGAAGAGAAAATGGTTTATTACCAAATTAGTTTTTTTAGTATGACCTACTTATTGATTAATGGATTATCTGTTGCAGCTCTATATTAATTTACAACAATATAGTCAAAAACATGTTCCCAACATTTAGGTAAAGAAAAAATTTAAATATAAACTCCATGTGCAGCAGCAATGTCATAGTAATTTGTCTTGAGAGCTTTAAGAGCAACAGATTTTCTTGTCGTTCTGGAGAAAGAAAAGATAAAAATCCATCTGCCACACTGTCATTCTCCAAGGCCTGATGTGATTCCCCAATTATCCTCCCACTGAGTCCGAGGCTTCGTTTTATAACTGACTCCCTGCTCAGGGAGGTGCAATTCAAAGCTTTCAAGGCCGATAGCTCTCTGAGGGTTTGCTTTCGTCCTCTGTTTCGCAAACCTAAAATCGTTTTCGTTCAACGACAAATCCCTTTGTTTTGAAGGAATGCCATCGTGCTACATACAGAGTCAATAACACAGAATACACATTCCCTTTGGCTAACTCTTCTAAAGTCTGACAAAACCAAAAATACAAGTTGCACATGCTAGAACCAACTCAACTCTGACAAAACAAAAACCTACTGCACACCCACAAGTGGACGTGCATAAACCCAAACTATGCCCTCATTCTCGCCTTTTTCACTTTTCTGACTTCCTTGTTCTTTTCTTTCCACCAATCATCTAATCAGGTGCTTTTCAGAAAACAAGGCTCCTCCCAAGATCACCATCATCACTGTGAAACTCTCCACATCAGTTTGCACCACAGCGAAGCATCATACAAGGTAATGTTTTAACGTCAACTACTAGCAAAAATAAAATGCATTCCCTTATCGTCTTACGGTAAATGATGTGAGACTAAGGCCGGAGATACACGTTAAAACTTTGCGTACGCACCATGGCTGCCTTGCTTATTCTGCGTCGGTAGCAGGCAAATCTGGAAGATTGATTTGAGCAGAGTGCTCTATAAATCTTTGAGTTCGGTTGTGTGCCCTCTACTGGAATCCTCCAGTAACACGCGTTGTACCTAGAGCAAGTAGGTGAACAATAACGTTTAAGAAGCAGCCAGTTGCGTACGCGTTGTTAAAAAGCAAGTATACCACAGGGCTTACAGTGCAAGAGTTGCTACATGTTTTCTGCTCAACATTCTAGTTACTAAAAAGTAAATTAGAGGATTAATTTCATTACAAAAATACTAAATCTGTCCAATGGCTAATTTAATTTATACACTTGATTATTAATGCTATGTCTGTACTGTGTCACAAGTGGACAGAATAATTAAAGGTCCTGAAATGGAGCCCAGTGCAAACACAAGAGGGTCTGACAGTAAAGTACTGCATTAAAAGCTGATTGAAGAACATAGTGATGAGGTCTTCAGGGGAATGTCAGCCTGTTCTAACTCCGCTGGGGGACGTTAGGGTCTTCCTGGTTGTTCTCCAATAGCTCGTCCTCAGAGAAACTGATGTGAAGGCAGGTATCATCCGCAGGAGAGAAGGGCAGTGGTTGCTCATAGTGTGAGGCAAGGACGTGGTGCTCAGCAGGGTACAACTCGGAGGAGAGAACTGCTTCGCTTCTCTCCTCCAGGGGACTGTCACAGCCGCTGGACGCTGTCAAAAATGTCCCGCGGTCCCCAAACAGGTCGTCATCATCGCGCAGAGGCGACAGCAGGGACTTGGTCTCGGAGCGAACCCCCGAGTCTTCGCTGGTCGAGCAAGAGCTGCTATCCCCGTTGCTGAGGGAATGGAAGTCAGCAGAAGACAGGGAGCTGGGGGTGATATCCGGGAATGAGAGGCTGCTGCTGCGGCTCGGGGCCCCATCGTTAGCAGAGATCTCTTCGGGCGTGGGCGCAGCTGTGACTTCTGACCCAGGGGACAGAGTTCTGCTGGCCCGCTTACGGTTCAGGGAGGGTGGTGGAGGGTCAAGTTTGGGGATTGTCTGTATACACCTGCAACAAAGAGAAGAGACGCACTGGTTAGTGAAGTCTGATCAACATGCTGAGTTTTTCTGGTTTTGCTGATTTTTGCCTTCATGTCTTTTGTGGTGTTTTAGTTTAAAAGACTCTCAGATTTCCGTGCTCTCAAACTGTAAGATCACTTTCTTGAATAAAGAGGGGAAAAAGGAGTATGACAATAAGCCTGAAGCCAGTGTTCCTCTCCGTCAGTCACATTATACCCCATTAACCTGAGCATTCGCAGGCTGGTACTAGACAAGACAGTAACACTCTCTCTGCAGGCTCCCTGTTGTTTCAGCTGCCTAGAGACTTATCTACACGCCACAGCTCCTCTGCGGAAAATATAGAGGGACAGGGGCAGAAAGATGGTGGGGGAGCGAGGAAAGAGCTGAAGGCTTTACCCTCAGACTCGCACACCAGAAATAGCTACATTGCAGTCTCTCTGATAGCACCACAATAACCCCATGACAAGCACCAGTGCACACAGCCTCACAATCATTCTCTCGGAAAATGAGTCCTGACACCAGACGCACTAACAAGCCTCACTTCCTCCCTGACTCCTCCCATCTGTTTTAACTGGTGGCCGCTAACTTTGTTCCCCTGTGAAATCCTGGTCTGTGGTTGAATCCTGGTCACCGTAATGAACTTATGTGAGCTGCTGATTTATTTACCGTCTCCGCTTCTGTGCAAGGACGGTGTTGACATCTGTAGCAATGACAGACTTGTTGTTATGCTGCAGGGAAACCATCAGCAGACATAATTATCTGCCATTTCCTATCCTAACAAATGCCAAGTGCAGCACTATAGGATAAAGGTCATGACCTCCACTGGCTCCTGTGTGACAAGTGGTATCATTAGTTTTTATGAGCCAGGCTGGTGGCATGGCTCTTTGTGTCGGTCAGGATCACTTATCAAAAGGAATGCCATGAAATGTAATACACACACACGCCTGGAGCATGAGTCTTCAAACTTTGTGGGTTCTGAGCACAGGTTGTGGATAAAGATGGATGACAAGTCTCTACTTCCTCCTACTATCCCAAAATGATGCTGTATTCAATATCCTGGAAATGAACTCTGCCATCTTGCACGTTTGTGAAGGGAGCCATGGTCGCAAGTTCCCACTGATAAAAACTCTTGAGCAACTACAAGGTAGTCTCAGTTGTCAATCATGACCATGTTCATAACATCAAATAACTAAATAAAACAAAAAAAACTGAGAAATTAGCACAGACAGTATGATGAGAACCCTCTTTAGGCCTATGGCCCATGTTCAAACCATTAACATGGAGACAGGGCTGTCACATTTTATTCAAAATTCAAACATTCAATCTAACGAATCAAATGATACAGTCTTGAAATGCGTCAGACTGAAGTGATCCAGCAGAGGGCGATCACCATCATCTTGATCTATTGCTTGCCCACATGACTTGTCGGTAATCTTATGTTGTATCGCCATGAAGATGGAGAACGCCAGCAAGCAAAGCCACCATGAGCAGAGAATCAAATTTACACCAGAGCATCTTCACCACAAACGTCAAATAAACAATTTGGGACATGGAGGGATTTATGTTCTATACTGCAGCCAGCCACCAGGTGGGGATTGGAACGCCTTGGCTTCACTTTTCATTCATCTTTATACACAGTCCATGGCTCTGAGTGAACTTAAATATTGAATGGATCCTTTTAAATATGCACATTAGAAATAAACAATTACGTGGAACACCAATTCCATTCAGCTGAATTTAATGTGTGGTGCCAATTAGCAAACATTAGCATGCTAAAACAGAAATAAAAATATCAAAGATGCTAGTATGCTGACATTAGACTTTAGCTCAAAGGAACACTGTGACACAGGCCTGAAAGAAGTGCTGGTTTTGTATGAGAGAGCAGGCTGGAAATGCAAATTTACATATTTAATTTAATTGTTTGATTTCAGGAAGTTTATAACAAAATAATAATAATGCAGTAGCTGACTGTTCTGAATCAAACTAAAACCCTTTCATTTAAAATATACTGATATATCTCTTGTTTTCTCCTCTGGGGTAATAGTGTTTTTATGGATTATAACAGTTAAACGCTTGATTCTTCTGCGGTTTCATGTGCAGTTTTTTTGGCAGGTGTGGGGATTCATTTACATCTGGATCAAGAAGCAGCCGTCTTCCTTTCCTTCTTTCTCAGACTCATTATCATAACTTTGACTCAGCACTCCTTTCTGTCACACTGACGCCCCTCTTCTTCCTCCCTGCACCATGTCTCCCTCTCTCTTTACATCTCTCCATTCATCTTGATGTAGTGTGGAGTCATTCAGCCTATACCTGCATCTCAGCCACTGTTTTCTTTTTCCCCCCCTCTGGCCCGACTTTTCCAATCTGCTTAATTTGGAAATTCAGTCTGGCAAATCTATAAATCAAACAAGGACGGACTAACAGAAATAAAGGTCAATTTAATAATTCATATCGTATTTGTGCGAGTTCTGACAATAATCAATATGTACAGCGTCTCTGTGGCAAAGACCAAAAACAGAAATGGTATTTTGAGCTTTAAGTGCAACACTTGATTTTCTTTGACTACGATCTTTTAAACCGTTTAATATTTGAGGAATTAGAACACTTTAAAATGTTGATGTTAAGTTACAGACCACAGAACTTGAAATTCCCACTCTTCTTAAAAAGCAGAGTTAATTCCACTTCAAACACATTGCTGTAGAATATTCCTGGGATCACACAGTTGTCAGTGAAAAGGACTCAAATCCTCCAGTGCTCATTATAACACAAGTGCCGTGCAACACCCGCTCTTCAACTAAAAGATCATTATGAGCCTGTTCAAGTCGGCCCACTTACGGCAGCTCTCATAAAATGATATTGCATTTTATGGCTAAAGAATAATATCTACATATTCCACCTGCTTTCAGTTCTGCATGAACTTAAAATAACTTGCAGGGACTTAACACAGTGAGGTTTTTTCTCAAAGTAAGATTATCATTTTGTGGGTAATGCAGATGAATCACAGGCTGTATGTAAAGCTGGACGACACGTCTCTGCTTCTTCCCTCTCTCCAGAAATGAAGCCAAAATATCCTGAACACGAACACTGCCATATTATACATGTATCGGTCTCGCCGATACACGGGTTCCACCAATCGTGAGTCAGTCTCAGCTGTCAATCAGCATCAAATATCTAATCAAAACCTAACTGAAAAATGAGCGCTGGGAGAACTAGTGGGATGAAAGTCTACCTAAAACATTTATGGCCTTCACTGCAGCCATGACATCCATCTTTATATACAGTCTGAGATAAACAGGTTTCTTATCTGTGGTGTGTTTAATTGTGGCTGGAGGGCATCAGAGAATAAGAGCAACATCAAAAGCCACAAAATACACAATATACTTTTTACATGATCAACATGTTACATATTTGACTTTCCGGTTTATTTTTCTGCTGGTTAATAAAATAGAATTCTAATAACTTTTCATTTAGATACTATTTGTTTACAGTTATTACCAGCCACAAAAACAAATGGTTTTGTTTCTCTATTGTGCCTTTCTGTTGTCATGCAATAGCAGAATATGTGAGAACTCTGATGTCACATGGCCTATTATCTGGAAGATGGTGATTTGGTAAAATTCAGGAAAAGAAAACATGCATAGAAAGAAAAAAACACCAAACGAAAACGCGACACAAACGCAGCCATAACACAGTGAGTGTAAGACAGGAATATGAAGACATACTTCTCTGCCGCTGCTCTGACAGTTTTACTATTCAGCCTGAGCCTTTGCTGACAAAATACCAAATCCTGACAAGAACATTTCTTCTCTCCTGCTGAAAAGTGTGAGATGCAAAACAAGTGCTCACAGTCCAAAACACAGACAGCGCTGTACTGTGCTCCACACATGCGTGACTCACTGATTACCTCCATGCTAATGTGGTTATGAATTTGCAGAACCACATCCGCATGTAAATGGGAGGCTATTATGCAGCCATTAGCAGAGGAATCACTAGTGAGAGCCGCACATGAGCCAAAATCACCCACACTGTTCACCCACCACATGCCCAGTCCCATGCTTGTGACACACACTGGTTCCGCATGCTGGTTGTCATGAGTAATACTCACATAGAGGGAGGAGAAGGGGCAGAGAGAAGGAAGAGAAGGAGGAGGAGGAGAAGAGGGAGCTTAGGCAGTGGTAGAGAGCCTCCCATGCTCCGAGGGAGAGGCAGGTTGGTGCAGCAAACGATGAGGGGGGGATGGGGGATGGGGGATGAGGGGGCGATGGGAAGCACGAGTTGTGGGTCTAAGGCAGCTGCTGCCCGGGTGTTTATTCTGAGGGTTCAGTTTGTGTGTGCGGATTGTAAGGGAAAATGAGGGATGGTTAGATGAGGAAGAGGATGAGCAGGCGTGGGTCCTCGCACCTGTACCAAAGAGAGGCAACAGTTAGACTACAGAGGAGCCATTTAAAGATATTAAAGATGTTCCGGTACCCGCATAGGAAATGCCTGCGATTCTGCCAAAACATGCGGGCATCAGCGAGTATACAAATCTGTTTTTCCAATCTGATACCACGACTTTAAAGTATATTAGTTTCACCTAAACAATTTTCTTTTCCCTGCAGTCGCTTCTTCTTTGCCTCCTTAAAAACAGCAGTTGTGCTGTGATGCCACTGGCAAGTACCGTTTTACAGCAGCGAGGAAGTAGTGATTTCCAGCAGTTTATAGTTAGTCAGAGCAAAGTTAAATGTCAATACTGTTTATTCTTAGATTTGTGTATTTGTGTTCTTCAGTTGTAACAGTCTAAATGATAGAGGATCTATGACATTCATTATCTGTATGCATTTGTTTTTCAAAGGGTTAAACTGAGCCAGGCCATAAAAAATGATAGTAATCAAAACTTCCATACAGAGTTAGGAAGCTTTTTTTTTTTAAATTTTTTTTAAATTGCACTGGTTTTGGACTGGTACTTAGCATCAGCATGTATCGGACTCAGTTTTCTGGGAGGGGAAA